AAAAAAAAGCGGAGCCCTTTTTTGTTATACGTGCTGAAAAGTAGGACCAGTGTCCCTGACATCAAAAGAACACACCCAAAATGGGATAGGGGCGGTAGAGTCTGAGGACATCCAGTCTAGCAACAAGCAGGTGTTCTTCCATGGATTTTGGAAAGGCAAGGAAAATGGGAGAATGGAGGCAGAGTTCCATTCGAGAGGAAAGGACAATGGGAGAGTGGAGGTGGAGGCTGAGATCATCCAGTTTAACAACAAGGAGGGGTTTCTTACTTTTATCATTTTATGTTTTTTTTTTTTCTGAATCAGATTATCACACTGACATAAGAATCCCTGTGCTGCTTATTGCATGGCTGGTGGCTATCCCGTGGTGGTCTGATATTGACTTCACGATGTTGACTTCACGATGTTGACTGGGACATTTCGCAGAGGTTGCAACTTGACTTCACGATGTTGCTCTGAATACGAGAATTGTGTGTCATGCTGCGTCAACCCAGCACGGGTATGTGGATGTGTTCCAAAAAAAAAGGCTTTTGTTCATGCATGCGTGTATGCGTCTGCTTGTCTCTGGCGTTTTTCCTTGTTCCCACTGCATTTAAAAAAAACAAGAGGATGCCCGCAGCGACCGCGGCGGGGACCAAGAGCAGGGGAACCCAGAAAACACACACACACACACACACACACACACACACACACACACACACACACACACACACACACACATTGCAATGAATCTTGCCATGTTGTAGCGTAAGATTCAATTCGATTTTGTTCATCGTATCGATGGAAGTAGCCTCTCTCTATCTCTCTGCGCTCATGGCTGGAAAGCAGTTTATATTTCCGTATTCTACTAGAAGATTCATTCCGATTTTGCTCATCCTATCGATGGAAGTAGCGTCTCTCTATCTCTCTGCGTGCAGGGGTGGAAAACTCTCTCTCTCTCCCTCTCTCTCTCTCTCTCTCTCTCAACCGAGGTCTCCTCCCCGCCTGACTTCCCTCTCTCTCTCTCTCTCTCTCTCCTCCGCCAACTTCCCAAGTTCGCACCAGCGCGCACGACGA